CTATAATTGTTAGTTAAGATAACCACAGGAGTTTGTTTTGCTTGGGATGACTGGAATATTTTTGGTGGGGGCTGCCTCCCCTATTGCCTTAACCTCTAGAAGGCGGTGGCCTGAATCGCACACTCAGCTTGATTCTCATCCACTCACTTAGAGCTCATTTGGGTTAAGAATGATCCTTCTCTGTTTTTCATCTGTCCAAAGTTCTTGTTCCAATAATCACCCTCCACCCTCAATGAGAGGATACAACAAATCTCAGAACAATCTATCTCACATCAAACATACCCTATTCCCAAGTAAACTTAGGAGCAACATCTCTGGAGCCTCTTCTTGAACCCAGCACAGTGGTTTCACTTGCCCCTGCAGGAGCCCAAGGACTTCCACAGTTATCTTACCTCTGTCAGCTCGAGAGATATCCTATATGTTTCCAGCCATTTCCATTGACCAAGGACTATAAGACAAGCCTTACCTATTTAGCCTTTGGTGAGCAAGGCTGGCTGAGTCTGTCAGTAAGAGAAATAAGTGCGTATTCCCCTTCCACAAGGTGGGGTGTCACACTCCATCAATGACAAGGTGAATACCAAAGACCTAAAGGTAGCCCACCACTTCCCTGCTCACCTATGGCAGGAAGCAATTGCCATGGGGCAAGCAAGAACCAACGGCATTCCACTCCCCCCCGCCCCACATTTGAGTGGCACAAACAACTCTTAACTTGCTCCCCATTTGAACCACAACCCAATACACACGCACATATTCACACACACACCTTTTAAGGCTAAAAAAAAGACAACCAGGACAACCATTATCATTACGACAACTCTCACCCTCCCAGGTCCAAAGGTAGCACTGACAACAAAACATGTTTGCATTTGATGGAAGACTGGCATAGATGCCTGGGAAAGAGATAGGGAGCCTACTGCTTCTGCAGGTTTTGCTCCAGCACATCAAGTTATCTGTCACTGCACATAAGGCCACAATCCTGATTTTCTTGAACTTTATAGCTTGTTCTTGTTTTCTTTATCTTTTAGATTAAGGCAAAAAAGAGATTAAAGACAAATACCATAAGCACAGCTCTGCATTTTCATACTGTAGCAGGATTATTTCACTTTCAGGTTATCTGTTTTCAGATGGAGAATGTGTGCCCAAGAATAACTAAGTTATTCCAGTGTTTCTGTTCCTATAGTACAGCACTATGTCAGCTGCCACAGTAGGAAGTACAGACCCTCCACTCAATAATTAAGTGGCAAACTAACATTCCCATTTCAAAAATACATATTTAGTCAGACTCAGAGGGCTTATCTTCCATCCTTGTGGCCACAAACAGGTACATGACACCTGGTTCCCCAAGTGTGACCATTTCAACACCCCAAGATCTGATTAAGGCAGTGGGATTCAATTAGTCAAGTGGAGCTGATGGTTCTGCTACAAATAAAGTCAATGAACATTTTTAGAAACCCTCTGAAGGTATGCCAGGCCTATAAAATGTGGACTAATTTGATCCTCCATGCCAGTCAACATCCAGATAGGCCTCACGATATATTCTCTGTAGAGGTCTCACATATTCAGTTTCCTTAAAGGTATATCTCCATCATATGAGTCCCTACAGAAACCAGCCCTTCTCCTTCCTTCCTTCCTTCCTTCCTTCCTTCCTTCCTTCCTTCCTTCCTTCCTTCCTTCCTTCCTTCCTTCCTTCCGAATCTGAAGTCAGAAAGGCTGCCTTACTCAAGGAAAGGGTGATGTAATCAACAGCAGCATTTTTTTTACCATCCCTATGCTGGCTGAGGATGATGGGAACCGTACTTCAGCACATCTGGGAGCATTCATTGAAGAAGATGACTGAGTTATATAGCAAGGGATGTTCCTTACAGATGGGGCTTTAGGACTCCTTAAAAAGGAAGCAAAGAGAGGAAAGTGATAAGAAGGTAAGTTCTGAGCTCAAGGTTGTACAGTATACGATGAAAGACACACTGAATGTATTAAGGCAGGGGGTTTCAAACTGCTTCAAGCTGTGGAACCTGTTAGTTTAAAAAGAGTGATTCCTGAGAACCCCCATTCAAGACATAAAGTTCTAGTGATAGAAAACTGGCTGTATTTCACTGATTTCCCCCCCCTTAGAATCTCATGGAACTTCAAGAGTTCTGGGGTTCCACAGAATGTTTGAAAACTCTGCTTTGGAGCAAGAGGACAAACAGAATGAACTTTTGGAAACTAAGTGGCTGGGAGCCAGGCCTTCTGAATGCTCAAGGGCTCTTTAGGCTGACCGTCACTATCTTTATAGCTATCACAGTCACAGGCTGAAATGACAAACCCAACTTGAATGTGTGTCACTGGCTGCAAGGACGTGTGTGTCAAGTTGATGTCTGAGAGTATACAACTTCTGGGCCTGCCCACATGGCTCCTACGCCTTCCCAGAGGAGTTACCACAAGCCTGCTAATTGTTTTCCCAGGCAACTCACAGGACTCTCAGCAGCCCTAAACCTTTCTGTCAAGATCCCTGTTCCATCCAGCGGGG